TCTATCTATCTATCTATCTATCTATCTATCTATCTATCTATCTATCTATCTATCTATCTATCTATCTATCATCTATCTATCTACCTACCTATCTATCCATCCATTTATTTATTTATTTTATCTATCCATTTATTTATTTATTTAATCTATCTATCCATCCATCCATCCATCTATCTATCTACCTATCTATCTATCGAAACGGGCTTCCTATGTAGCCCCAATTCTCCTGGAACTCGCGCTGTAGACCAGGTTGGCCTCGAACTCATAAAAATCCTCCTGCCTCTGCCTCTGGAGTGCTGGGATTAAAGGCCTGCTGCGCCACTCCCTGTGCCTACTTGTTTTAAACAAACTTTTATTTTTGATTTTTCAAGACAGGGTTTCTCTGTATAAGAGCCTTCGCTGTCCTGGACTTCCTTTGTAGACCAGGCTGTCCTTGAACTCCCTACCTCTGCCTCCCTGAGTGATGGGATTAAAGGCCGGCTGAAACTATTGAACTATTAAAATAAAATTTCCTGCCATGGTGGGGTACGCTTGGTTAGTCTTAGAAATAATAGGGCAAAAGTTTACTGATTTGGGCTGTTGGTTCCTTGTAGTCCCAACAAATTGTGAGTCTGAAGGGGGATGGTCGTTTGAGCACAGGAGACCACCCTGGGTACCGCGGCGGACCGGACCAAAAGGAAAATTAACACCTTTACTGAGCAAGCAAGCTTTTTTATGTCTTGTTCTTGAGGCAAAAGACTGGGGCTGGCTGTGTTATTTATATGTAATTAACTGGGGTTAGGGACGAGAAATGTATATTGAATTGAAAAGAACTGTGGAAATATACTGAGCCTGTGAATTTATCAAGCTCTTGGTTAGTTTATTATTATTTGTTTCTTCTTCTTCCTCCTCTTCTTTTTTTTTAAGAGTGCTAGAAAAACAGGCCAGCACACCTCTGTATGTATGTCCAGGTATCAACAGCTTTGGTGCATGCTAGGTAAGCATTCTTCCGGTTGAACTATATTCCCTGGTCCATTTTGTTAAGTTCTTGGGCCAAGGAGGGAGTGGAGGGTACAATTTTATTACTATTGCCGGTCAAATGCTCATCAATTAAACAATATAGAATATTTATATTTTTGTATATCTACGACTACAAGTCTTATGTACACAGTACACATGAATGTAATGTCTGTACAAGACAGACTTTTTACCATACATCAGATTTGAACTTTTCTAGAAGTACGTCACAGGAGACACACTTGAATATAGTTTACAACTTAGTAAGTCAGTTACTGGAACGCTTCTGAAAATTCACTTTTCCAGCAGGAGTGTAGGTTGTTTCCTTGTGAAAAAGTGTGAGGTTGGCTCTATGTCATTTTTCTGTCTCTTGTCATATTCTTGAAGCTTTGTAATTAACTGCTTATCTGTGCTGGCTAGTTTTGTGACACAAACTAGAATTACCTGAAAGGAAGGAACCTCAACTGAGAAAATGCCTCATAAGATCTGGTTGTAAGGCATTTCTTTTTCTTTCTTTCTTTTTTTTTTTCAGTTTCAGTTTTTTGAGACAGGCTTTGTCTGTGTAGTTCTGGCTGTCCTGAAACTCATTCTGTAAACCAGGTTGTCCTCAAACTCGAGATCTGCCTGCCTCTGTCTCCCAAGTGTTGGGATTAAAGGTGTGTACTGCTACACCACATGGCTAGGACATTTCTTAATTAGTGGTCAGTGGGGGTGTGCCAACCCGCTGTGGTGCCATCCTGGGCTAGAAGTTTTGGGCACTAAAAGCAGGCTGAGCCAGGTAGGGTGGTGCGTGCTTGTAATCTCAGCACTCTGGGAGGCAGAGGCAGGTGGATCTCTGTGAGTTAAGTCCAACCTGGTCCTCAAAGCGAGTCCAGGAGAGTCAAGGCCACTCAGAGAAACCCTGAGTTGAAAAACAACAACTGAAAAAGAAAAGAAAAGAAAAGAAAAGAAAGAAAGTCTGAGCAAGCCATGATCAGCAAGCCAGTAAACAGCACTCCTCCGTGGCCTCTGCCTGAGTCCTACCTCCAGATTCCTGCCCTGCTTGAGTTGGGCAGGAACTTTGATGATGGACTGCTATATGGAACTGTAAAACAAACCCTTTCCTCCCCGACTTGATTTTGGTCGTGGTGCTCTGTCACAGCAGTAGGACCCCTGAGACATGAGAGTGCTTTGTAAATGCCAGTTGCCATCCCAAGACCTCTAGATCCACTAACCAGCCATTCCTTAGTCCTGGGGAGCAGGTACTGTTGCTTTAGCTCCTGTTGCTTTACGGTGGTACTCTAATGGGTTGACAGAAAAATGTCCAGAAAAACATAAAACCTGAGGTAAATACCACATCTACAAACAGCTGCTTCGAAAGCCTCGATGTGAAGGAGTTTTTTTTTTCCCCTAATATACATAAGAAACCTCTCTCTCTCTCTCTCTCTCTCTCTCTCTCTCTCTCTCTGTGTGTGTGTGTGTGTGTGTGTGTGTGTGTGTGTGTTTGCATATTGAAAGTCTAATAGCTAGGCATGGTAGCACATATATGTAATCCAAGCATTTGGTTGGAAGTTTGAGGAGAAAAAAAAGAAAAAAGAAAACATCCTGGACAATATTACCAAACACTTGCTAAATTTTTTTTAAAAAGGAAGCCAAGGAGATGGTTGAGAGGTAAGGGCACTTGCTGCTGAGGCTGATGACCTGAGTTCAGTGCCAGGGCTCACCTAGTGAAAGGAGAGAACCAGTTCCGCAAGTTGTCCTCAGACCTCCATAGGCATGCTATGGCACACACACACACACACACATACATACATATACACACATAAATACATACACACATACATTCATATATATGCAAACAAATAAGTGTAAAAATCATTTTAGAAGGAAGGGAAGGAAGGAGAAGGAAGAAAAAGACTCTCTTTTTAAAAATACGTTAAATTGTATTTGTATGACTGTTTGAGTGCATGTAGGTCTCTGCACCACATGAATGCCTGGTGTTCACAGAGGCTACAAAAGGGCATTTGACCCCCTTGGAGCTAGATCTAGAGATGGTTATAAGCCACCATGTGGGTGCTGGGAAGTGATCCCCAGTCTTCTGGAAGAGCAACATTCAGTCTTAACCACTGAGCCATCTTTCCAGACCTAAAAGGCCATTCTTGATCCATTCTACATGCAGAGCAGGGAGTTAAGAAAGACCTAAAATATTAGGCTAATACAGTGTGTGGCCGAAGTTATTTCACCTGAGAACTGCCCATTGCATGTGTCATCCGTAACATCTCATTCATCATACTGTCCCCTTGCACATCTTTTCTCCTCTCTCGAGCCTTGTAAGGACACTGGTGTTCATATGGCAGCAAAATTATATCATACTTTCCTCAGACTGTATCCCCAGAGCTAGGCCACGTGTGACTGTTTAGCTCTGGCCATGAACATCAAGATGACAAGCCAGCTTCTGCAATAGAAAAGCCCAGATCTTACATTTCATCTGTCCCTCAGTTTTCATTACAGGCCTATGGAATAGCACAGGCTTATCGTTTTCTTAGTCATCGCTAAAGCTGCTCCATAAGTAAAGTGGCTTAGTGGCAAGTGACAGAAGATGCTGCTTTTATTTATTTTAACAATAAATGTGCTGGGACATGGCTTGGCACTTAAGGGCACAGGCTGCTCTTCCAGAGAACCTGGGTTTCATTCCCAGCATTGACATGGCAGCTCACAACTGTAAGTCTAGTTCCAGTGAAAGGGTTAACTTTGTAACCTGTATGTCTTCTAAAGCCTATAGTTTTGAGTTTTAGGTTCAGGTTAAGCTAAAGCCTCTTAGTACCTTTCCAGAGAATGGAAAAATGTGATCCTATCTATGAGGACAGATAGAAAAAAAGGCAAGCAAGCAATGACCTTCACTCAGCAAAAAGAAAAACTCCTGTCTTTGAGATAGCATTTCTTAGCAACAAACCTAGACTTCTTCTGAGTAGCTTTTGACCTCCAGCCAAAAGTCTGTAGCCCCTAATCTTCAAGAATGAGCTAACCACCCCCACTTTCAATTGCAGCTGCATCCACACTTGGCAGGACTGGCCAAGCTTGAGCACCTAAGACTAACCAATTATCTTACTTTATAGCTTCCTCGTCCAATCCTAAATTGCCAAGACTGCAACTTCAAATCTCCCGCAATTTTTCTTTTAAAAACCTAAAGGCCTTTGTCTCCCAGGGCCACTCTTTGCTGACTGGCAGGGGTGACCCCATTGCGCAATGGTTAATAAACCTCTTGCTTTTGCAATGAGTCTTGATCTGGGGGAGTTTCTGGGAAGGGCACGATCTTGAACTCCTGAGCTGTGAGACCCCAGGTCTTACACCAGGAAGCTCCTACAGCCTCTTCTGGGCTCTGTGAGCACCATGTACATGGGGCACAGACACTCACACAGGCAAAACATCCACACACATATAATTTTTAAAAATAAACAGTGGGATTTGCTGAGTCACATAAAGGTAAGTCCAGAAAAAGACAGGCTTAGAGTTAGTTAATGAGAAGCTCAGTTAAGACAAACAGGGCCACATAGCAAGATCCTGACTCAGAAAACTAAACAAAGCAAAATGGCAACAATCAGTATACATTCTTAGCACAGGCCTTTGCCCCTTGAGTCACCTGGAAGCAAGTCAATGCGTTAGGAGGCCCAGGGGTCAGCAGTGAGGTAGACCAAAGTTCTGTGGGTTTGGTTTTGAGACAGGGTCTTACCAGTAGCCCAGGGTGGCCCCAGACTTGCCATGATCCTGGTGTCACTGCCTCCTGGGAAGTGATCCCCAGTCCTCCTGGGTAGAGACACCAGGAACACACCCAACGA